TGTTAGACACTCGTTGTCAGGTAGCCATAAGTGAAGAGATTCTCTAGTGTAAACATATTCTTTTTTCTGTATAATTCCTTTATCCTGGAATGCTTTCATAGCATTTCCGAATTCCAGCAAGAGAATCCTGTTAAACATTCGTTGACAGGTAGTAGTAAGCGAAGGGATTCTCCAGTGTACACATTTCCTTTTTTTCCAGGTAACAATAGTATCTCCGTTCCGGCCATCAAAGATTCGAGAAAACGTCCGTGAAATCCTGGTGCCTGGGATCAACCTCCATGACTACATCCCCAACTTGTTCAAGGGCAAGACTGCAGGACCCATGGCGCTCATGTCGGCCGCTCCTACGCTTTGTTCGGAGGCGCTAGGGAAGGAGGAGGTGCAAGCTCTGTTGAAGGAGGAGTTTGACGTTGTCCTGATTAGCATCTTCATTAGCCATTGTTTCCTGTCGATTGTTCATAAGATGCAGGTTGGTTTAGAAATTTTGTATTCGATTTTTTGTCATCTGATCACTCTTGTCACTCCATAAGGGAAGAAAAGGTATGAAAGGAAAAGTACTAACACACATACACACACAATATATGCTTGTGTGTGTGTGCATGCATGTATGTATATATATAGGTAGATAGATATTGTGAATGTATTTAAATGTGTGTACCTATATATATATATATGTGTGTATATATATATATATATATATATATATATATATATATATATATATATATATATATATATATATATATATATATATATATATATATATAGTGTGTGTGTGTGTGTGCTGAAGTGTGTAGAATTGAAGATTCACCTGACATCCATGACCTGTTATTTTTTTCCTTGCTTAGCTGTTGTTGCTGCAATTACGTAGCATAATTTGAAGATGCTCTAGTAGTTTTTTGTTTATTAAATCCTTTTTTGATCAGTGCCATTCTACTTCAGCGTAATGTTTTGGTAATTCGTGGTAACTAGCATCAGCTCGACGTTCGATGACCCTGCCGCAGAAACCGCGTCCTGTTTCACCAAGATAAACTTCAAAGCATTTGCTGCAGGGATGCCGTGTAAGGCGCTGTCGGGTCTGCCAAAATATTTGCTTTTGGCCTTGGAGGAGTTAGTCTCTGGTGCTATGAGGAATTCTCAAGGAATTGCTCTTGCCAGTATGCTCTTCGTCTTTCTTCTGGTTATGAATTGACCTCATTTCATGTATTCCTTGGCTAGAGATCCTCTTCTACATGAAGAAAATATTTTCTGCGACTAACTTTTTACAGTACAAAGAAAAGTATTGGATGCAGTCATTTGCATTTGCTTCTCCGCCCACAGACGTCACCACCTTGATGGTCCAGTGTTCAGTTGAGAAAGCTGACACTGTTCTTCCTCCGCCGTAAGGATAACTTCGTTGTGTTGAGCAGCGTCGACATTTGACACGAGCATGATCTCCTGATGATAACGAGGACATCATCTACACACGGTAGCCACGTTAAATTCCCCTCAATTATACCTTTTTAATGGTCCTTCCCCAGTGTCCCCATACAGAGGCGAACCAGGACTGCGCTTAGTGAGGAATCAGAATCGTGTTTGGTTAGAGGCATTTAATAGACCGATTTGGCATGACGTCACGAGCCGGGGTTACCATGATGAAGAAATCCACTTGGTGAATACAAACCCGTCTCTCACAGAAACCTCTCATACAGTAAATAAATGTTACCTTATTTCCGTGAGCGAAAATGTCGTATGAATACTCCGGAATGTTAAAAACCGCAGAGAAAAAGCTTTGAGAAGTCAAACTAGACGCTGTGCACCTAAAGGAGTGTCCATATCCCTACCTACCGAAATTTGGATCGACGATCCTTTGAAGTGGCCCAACATTGAATTACCGATTTTGATTACCTATTACCGTTATCGATTCGGTAACATGTAGCAACCGCACCTAGCAGTAAGCACCTGGTGAAAGCAAACCTCGTTCGTTCAGAAAACTGCTGTGTTATAGATTCAGAGTGTTAACCAAGAATTTCAAATTCTTTTGTGTGAAAATACCTAAGAGTTGTGTAGTCGATGGTTGGTCAAACCATAATATGAGGGGAAAGAAAGGTCTAACCTTTCACTTATTCCCAGCCCGTTACAAGAAACCGGAAAAATGGAATCCATGGATTCATGAAACGCGTAAACGCTGATGAAAGCGTTTGAGTGACTGGTGGAAAATATGTTTACGTCTGCTCAGAGCATTTTATTGAAGGTAAAAGTTTAATTGATATATATATATATATATATATATATATATATATATATATATATATATATATATATTAATGTATTGCACCATTTTTATTTCTAATGTACACATATTTTCCACCAGGCGCCCAAGCACTCCCATGACCATATCCGTGTTTTATAGCCTGAACCCATTGATTCCATTTTTCGGGTTTCTTCTCGTGATCTGGAAATGTGTGAAAGGTTAGACTTTTCTTTCCCCTCATTTATATATACATCTATACTATTAGTT